AAGCACGAAGCTTAGTGAGTTCCCCATCCTACCACATACCATGCATAACCACATACTGCACATACTGGGCCACGCCCGCTATCCTGGGCCTCGCCCGCTATAACGGCCCCGCCGCTCCAGGCCCCGCCTAGCTTCGAGCCTCGATACAGATCTGTTTCACTTAGGCCTCGCCTGTCATAGGGCCTCACCTGCCAACAATAATAACACATAAACATATCTCAGGGCCTCGCCCGCCAGCAAATAATAACACATAAACATATCACAACACATAAGCTAAACTCATACGACTGATCCTGTCCTAAGGCCTCGCCTATCCTGGGCCTCGCCCTTGTCCTGCTATTGATGAGTCATGGAACCCCGTCCACGCTCCTACTGGTAGTGAGATACGAGCCCAACCCACTTTCACTCCTTCCCTAACTTGGGCCTCACCCCTGTTCTGTTACTAATGAGATGTGGAACCCCATCCACACTCTACTATTGGTGAGATACGGGACCTCGCACACCACCTCCCTACTAGGCACATACATGTATCACACAGACAACATGTGTAAACTATCATATAACAAATACTTGGGCACCCGCCCGCTATTAATGGACCTCGTCCCGAACATCATACTAGCATATTGTGCCTAAGGCTAACCCCCGGGCCTTCTACTCATAACTACACGGGCCGACATTGTGGCCTTAGACCCATTCACACAGAGGAAAACTCACCTGCACTGGCTGAATTTGTTGATGATCTCACTAGCTGCTGCCCGACAACTCTCTGAACTCCTGCTCCCCTTGCTCCCCGAACTACCAATATCAAAGCAACACTGAGTCTAACTGACCCCCGAGGGACAACCAAGTCAACTCTGGTCAAAGTCAAAGTCCCGGTCAAGGTCAACTTCCCAGGTCAACCCTACTCGCCGAGTCAACCTACTGACTCGCCGAGTTCATATATTCAGAGTTCTTCCTTTCACGTCTCGACTCACCGAGTCAGTCCATGACTCGCCGAATCTACCGATTTCTGAGTCCTGGCCTGTCCAACTCACCGAGTCTCCACTCGACTCACTGATTCGAGTCTCAACTTGAAGGGTTTGGGGTTCGCGACCTGACTCGCCGAGTCCAAGAAAAGACTCGCCGAGTACAAGGCAATCTTCATCTGACTCGACGAGTTGTTCATCCCACTCGTCGAGTTGATCCTAATCTTCATGCTACTCACCGAGTCCACTCAAAGGACTCGCCGAGTCCATTCAGATCCCCTTACATGCAGAGAACTTTTGAGTCATGCATGGACTCCAAACTGTAGATCTACCCTTCCCAAGCCTATTCCTCACGTAAATTTGCAAACTTTACGTGTAGAGAAGGAGATCTAGGCAAAATACACCATAAACTAGGGTTTTAAGGCAAAGAGGCTCCATAATCAACTCAAGGGCAGATATTTTATGCTTCTCAAGACCATAATATGCTTAGATCCGAAGTATCAACTTCAGATCTGGCTTCTAACTCAAATGGATATCATTATTGCTAAAAAGGCCCAACAACCACACATAGATCTAGGTGCAAAAGAGTCCAAGAACTAGTTTATTACCTCCAAATGCTCAGAAATATTCTCACAATCTTAGATCTATAGTCCTTAATTTGTTGCACCTCCAAGTTCCTTCCTCCTTCTCCAAGCTTTAATGCACTCTTCAAGGCATTAAATGGCTCAAACAATGGATATGGCGGCTAGGGTTTGGTGTTATGGGTTAAAGAGGTAGTAAAGGAACCCTAAGGAGGAGAATGAGGCGCTTAAATAGGCTCCAAGTCCCGACTTTAGGGTTTTCTTCTCACAGACCAGACTCGTCGAGTCGGTCACTTACTCCTTGACCCGGATCCCGCTCGGACTCGCCGAGTTCATCCTTGGACTCGCCGAGTTGCACTTTAAAATTAGGGTTTTCTTCCCTTTCTTGGCCTTCCAGACTTGGGTGTTACAACTCTCCCCCATTTAAACTAAACTTTGTCCTCGAAGTTTGCTATGATCCACCGCCTGCGATCTGCCTCCAATACCCCACCAATTATTCTAACACCAGTTGCTTACCTTTACTGGCCTTCCGCTCAGTCATTCAGACTAACGTCAATCCTTGAGGATAATAATCTCGGGTCAACCCTAACCCGGAACATTCTGGAAACCCAAATTACTCAACCGACAATCCTTCTTGTACTATCCGAGTACTGCAAATGAACCCATAGGGTTCACCCCTTCTTTCCTTGCGCGATTTCCTTGCCTTCCCAAGGCAATGCTCCATAACCATCTATTTCCTCTTCCACTGGGAAGACCCTGTCTTCACCAAATCTATTACTCCCAGTACGAATCATCATCGCCAGTATCCACTGGGCATTCTTTCTACTATCATTTGGTGTCAAGCACCCCACGATCAACTAACTAAATTCCACCATACACTGCATACTCGCACTGCTACTGACTGGAAATTCTGATATTCCTCATCTGACTTCCGGATGAACTAAGACCACCCTGGTCCCTACCAACCTATCAATATCTGGATTACCGGCTCCCACCGATCGCTAACCCAACACAACTACTAGTCGCTCCCAGCGACTTTCGAAGATACTTCGACCACCTAAAATTGCTCGATCTATCCTGCCATGCAAGCACTACAATTTCCAGGGATCCCCGATCCCCTATCCAGACACTAAGATCCCTACCAAGTCCCACCTGTGCTGCTAAAACTCACGGGCCTCACCCACGGGTCTCACCCGCCTCTAACCTTCTAGTCCCACTTGTCTAACCACTCTCGATTGGGCCTCGCCTACGGGTCTCACCCAACTATATCCTAGAACGGTCTCTCCCAAGGTTTCATCTCTCTAGGGCTATACAGGAAAACTTCCCATCAATCTCATCCATTACCCATTCCTGATACCTATCTAAATGCTAGGAGATAAGGGCCTCGCCCCAACTCCGCCAACGAAGCTACTATGGAATCCTACGGCTTACCCGCAGTCTTACATCACCTTCTATCGCCGTCTGCTAGTGAACGCTACGGCTGCCCCGTAGTCTGACAACACTTCCCACCACTGATTGCTAGTGAATGATACGGCTGCCCCGTAGTCTTACATCACTTTCCACCACTAACTGCTAGTGAATGCTACGGCTACCCCGTAGTCTTACATCACTTTCCACCACTAACTGCTAGTGAATGCTACGGCTGCCCCGTAGTCTTACATCACTTTCCACCACTGACTGCTGCTGAAGAAAGTTGAGGCTCTCTCGCCGCTCTTCCATGCTCTACATGTTGTCTCTGCCACTGTCTACTATCACGAAAGCATCCCCTGCTGTATATCCTCAAGATCTTCATTCCGACTCACACGAGTCCTACAGGTGATCCTTCAACCTGAATTCTGAACCACATACTCACCATCACCATTACACGCACGAACTGATGGGGAGTTTCTTAAACTCCCAACCCTGAACTACTCAATCCATGAAACGCTGAACTACCTCCTTTCCTTCTCAGAAATCGCGTACTCGTTCTGGGTTTGCGTGCTCTTACCCTTGTACACTCGGAGGATTCTCCCCCACTTCGATCCTGCTTACACCTCGCCGCTCAATGAATAGAAATCCCAATCCTTGCTACCATTCCATAATCAATCTGTTGAGGAATCCCAAGCTTACCATAGTTAGGGATCTAACCAGTCCATTTCTAAAACTTATACGACTCCAAACTAGCGAGACATACCGATTCCCTCCAAGGCATGCTACAGTTACTGCACCCTAAGTAACCTTCTCCAATAGAACCCATCCCCTAACTACTATCCGAAATCCAAGGTATGGAGATGGCATATAGCTCGATCACAATCAAACCGCTCAAAAATAAAATACTCATACTGATAATGATGCAGAACCATAACAATATAATCATGCACAAATAAAAGAACTGAAAACGGAAGTCGCATACCTGCAACGTCCGGCGTTGCTCGCGTCTCCAAGGTAGCCATCTGAAAAGCCCTGCCTCCTACTGCAGGCGCCTCTGCACGGCCCTGATGGCCGTCTCTGATCCTCAAAGTTACAGGGGCAGGTGCCATCACCCGTCCTGCTGAAAACAAACTGGGGCACTGGGCCTTCTTGTGGCCCCGCTGATTGCAGTGAAAACATATCAAGTCTGATCCCTGAGTGGAGTTAACAGTACAATCCCTGCTAAAATGACCAGTCTAACCGCACTTGAAACAACCAGACTCACCACCGCTACCACTCTTGCACGCGCCCCCGTGCGCCTTGCCACACTTCCTGCATCGACTGGGGTCCTGATAATCCCTCGATCTCGAATCCGATCCCTTGAGCCTTTTGCCCAAACTCGCGGCTACCTGAACCTCATCTGGCTTCCTCTTCCGGATCTGCTCCAAATCAATTTCCCTCTCCCTGGCCCGAGAAATCATAAAATTAGAAGAGATAGAAAGAATTTGAGGAAATCGATTAGCTAACGGTTGTTGTAGACGATTTCAGAAATTCAGAAAAGAATGTGAAGAAATCGATTAGCTTAAATTCAGAAATCAAATAGCTTGAAATCTTGAATTGACCAAGACATGCTTTACAAGGGTTGTTTGGAGAGAGAGAGAGAGAGAGAGATATAGAGATAGAGAGAGAGAGAGAGAGAGAGCCTGGAATGAAGGTCATCGAGCGATCCTTGTGATATTGAGGAGACGACACGAAGATGATGGATGTTGGCTCAACAAGAATGGGATGAACAAACTATGTTAACTGATGACGGGTATTGTAATGTTTAGCGAGGACAAAATCGTACTCTTGTGCTTTCCATGTTATGAAGGAATTAATTCCTTTTAAGATTGTGAAGGAATGAACTTTCCTTCACAGAAAATAATTTATTTAGCATTCATTTTCCTTAAGGCCTTGAGCTTAACCAAACACAAAAACACCCTAAGTTTGTAAAAATTGCTAAATTTTTTTGCAAAAAATGGACAATGGATGAATAAATAATAAATGTATGGGTCCTCAATGGTCCCGCTACGGTAGAAAACAAGAATGGTATGGCCCAATTGTTGATAGAATCCGCCACTCGCCTACGCATGTTATCTGAATCCGGATAATGATTCAAAAAGTAATTTGTTCTGGATGAACAACTTCATTCATCTTCCCCATTAAAGCCCCTGAAAAACCCTAGTCCTGACTGAATTCATCAACAATGGCTGCATTTTATGCGTCTCCAACTCCAACCTTACAGATAACAAACAATCACGTACCCCAATCATGTCCCTTGTCTTCTTCATCATCACTATCTTTTTCATCAAGCAAATCCAGTTTCTTCAACTCATCTTCACCATGTTTCAAAATCTTCGTTCATTCTCTGCCCAAAAACAGCATAACAAAACAAACCCCTTCTCTAATTCGAATGTCATGGGATGGCCCTCTCTCCTCCGTGAAATTGATCCTCCAAGGCAAAAATCTTGAGGTAATGTTTGGGTTTATCATCTGTTCATACTGATTTCTTAAAATCTGAAACAATTTGATGATTTGTGTATGAAACAGTTGTCGGAATCTGTGAAGACTCACGTCGAGGATAAGGTGGGAAAGGCCATTCAAAAGCACAGCCATCTTGTTCGCGAAGTAGATGTTAGGGTTTCTGTTCGGGGTGGAGAATTTGGAAAAGGCCCAAAAGTTCGTCGAACAGAGGTCTGCATCTTACGCCCACAAATTCAACTTAAATCGTTGAATTCGAGTCGTTTTCTGATGAATTTGCTTCTGTTACACAGGTTACATTATTTACCAAGAAGCATGGCGTCATCCGGGCAGAAGAAGAAGCAGAGACTACATACGCAAGCATCGATACAGTTTCTTCAGTCATACAACGGAAGCTAAGGAAGATTAAGGAGAAAGATTCAGATCATGGTAGACACATGAAGGGATTCGATAGGCTCAAGGTAAGAGACGCACAGATACTCATCGATCAGGATTCCCTTGCGGTTACTCAAGAAGAAGAAGAGGAAGAAGTAGAAGATGCAAGTGAAACCGATGAGGTTAGGGTTTATGAATGCTAAAATAATACTTAAAAGAAATAAAACTAACTACCAAGTGAAGACTACTTCATACCTAGTGCATGAATTTGTTGTTATCAGTTTACATCGCATTTGAATTACATTCATACCTCTATATGTGAAGCTAAATTTGGAAAAAAAAAAATCTCAGATTGTTCGCACAAAATATTTCGAAATGCCCCCTTTGACTGTATCAGAAGCAATTGAGCAACTAGAGAATGTTGATCATGACTTTTATGGCTTCCGAAATGAAGAAACTGGTAAGATTTTGTGGCGTATTTTATTCCTCTTTGTTTGAGATTGTATTGATTTGGATGATTTGGTTTTAGGTGAGATTAATATCTTGTACAAAAGAAAATCTGGAGGGTATGGGATCATAGTTCCAAAAGAAAATGGCGAAACTGAGAAATTCGAGGAAGTGGATGCAGAAATTCTCAGGCAACTCTAGTTTGCAGAAAAAGGTGGGAGAATGAAGAAGATGATGAATCATATGTAGATGTTTGAGCTGGGTGTTCCAGTTTTCAATATAGGGTAACGTTTGAGGATATACATGTCCAGAATCCAGATGTGTGTAGTTTCTTTGAAACCATGTGTAATCTAATCTCCACAAAGTAAATACAGGTTATTTTTGTTCTTCCTTGCATTGACATGTGCTCAATAGCTTGTTAATTGACATGGTATTTCGTGAGATATTTAGGCTAGAGGTGGTGTATACTGTATAGCTAGCCTTAGCGCCAAAGTGCATCGGTACCCTATATGGGAGGTTTCAAGTTCAAACATTAGGGTTTTCAATTAAGGGATTGTGAGGAGATAGATGCATGATGCTAAAAGGAGGGGATATTTAGTATCCTCACCAAAAACGAGTCCTCTTCCGCAAACCTTCCAATATCAGTTAGAGTGGTGGGAAGCCAATTTTGAATACAATAGAGAGCCATAGGGCACATGGATCGGGTAAGAGACGTTAAAATTATGTCCAAAAACATGGTTCGGTTTGAGCAGTCTCGGTGCATGAGTACTCAAACTTAGACCAGCACATTTGCGGTTTCAGGTTGGTCTCGTGCGGTTTTGGACCGATCTTTTTTCAATCCAGTCTTTTTTTCAGAACAATCTCTTTCAGTTCGATCTTTTTTGGGATCAGTCTCGGTCTTTTTCGGTCTGGTCTCACGGTCTTTTTGTACGCCTTTATCGGTTCGGTTTTCGGGTTTTTTGGTTTTTCTGGCACAGTTTCTGTATTTGTTGGTTTTTTTAGTTTCGGTTTCGAGTTTTTCCCTTAACAAAATGTGTGATTAACACCAAAATGATAGATTAAACTTTATTAAAAATGATACATTGAAGTTTAATAAAAAAAAAATGAAGTTAGATAATATGTGATTAAAAAATTATGTAATTATCACAAAAATGATATATTTATAAACTTGGGCTTCCGTTTTTTTTTAGATTGGTCTCAGACCAGTCCCGGGTCAGTCTCAGACTGGTTTTGTGTCGGTCTCAGAACAGTCCGGTTTTTTTCGGACCAGTTTTGGACGGTCTCGAACCAGTCTTTTTCGGTCTGCTTTTTCTAGGACCGGTGTTTTCTCGGTCCAGTCTCGTTTTAGATCGGTCCAGTCTCTATCTTTTTTTGGGTTCATTAGGAGACTAACTCTTTTGTGCAGGTTGGACTAACACCATCAATAAGATAAAAAGACCAAAAAAATATGAAAAAACCTAAATTTCTAGTCTAGTCTAATCCGCTCCACGAAAAATCTGAATACTGGTTCGTGATCAGACCACCTAAAAATAACTTGATCCATTACAGAATGCTCGTTCGGACTGGCCCATTTTAATAAAGGCATTGCTTGGCTCAAGAGACTAGTCCATTCTAAAAGCCCTTTAAGTCGGTTCCATTTGTGTGCGTTATAAAGAGCAATCTTGTAAAGAAAAAGAACATATTTAATAAAATGATCATATTGAAAGGCTTAGTATGACTAGAAAACCATTTATTTTCTTTTATTGTAACACAACCACCAAATGCTTAAATCAGTGGCCGCTGAATCATGATGATATGTTTCTTAAGAGTTAGCTCGTTGTGGCCTAACAAGGGGCATTTTTTTGTACTCTAAATTCCAGATTTGAAATGACGAATACTGAATCACACTCTAAAATAAATATTGAATATTCAAATGTGTTATTAAATCAAAGAATATTGAGCAGATAACAAATATATATATATATATATATATATATATATATATATATATATATATATATATATATATATATATATATATATATATATATATATATATATATATATATATATATATATATATATATATATATATGAGAGAGAGAGAGAGAGAGAGAGAGAGTGGTTCAAATGAGAACCAAAAAATATTAAGAACCGTAAGAACCTCTAACTTTAGATGTTTATAAAGGGTTGAGGGTAACCCTAAACCCTAAACCCTAAACCTTTTATAAACACCCTAAATTCTTTATAAACACCCTAAACCCTAAAGCATAAACCCTTTATAAACACCCTAAACCCTAAACCATAAACCCTTTATAAACACCATAAACCATAAACCCTTTGTAAACACCCTAAACCCTAAACCCTTTATAAACATTTAAAATTAGAGATTCTTACGGTTCTTAACTTTTTTTGGTTCTCATTTGAACCTTTACCTATATATATATATATATATATATATATATATATATATATATATTTACTATCTTATAAAAGAAATCTATCTATTTCTATAAATAGATTTATTATAATAATATTATTTTTTTAAGACGTTCAAGTCTCAAAGCCTAAATTACAACCAGTTATAAATAAAATAATAATAAATTTTAAGTCATCCAAGTTTATAAACCTAATGTACAATTACGTAATGCATATTTGGACCCAATCCCTTAATCCGCTTGATCCCTGATCGAGTCTGTTTACTCCCGAAATCTCGCCAAATATCCCGACATCCAACCTTTCTGTTTTCTTCATTCTCAGATCTCAGTTTCAAAATCGGGAACCTTCTATCTCTCTAAACTCTCATGTTCAATATAATAAACCCTAGCCTCAACACACCACCTCTGATCCTTCTCTCCCAATTTCATGCACACAGTCTCCATGGGTCACCACAATCCACCACCTCCTTCAACGTCTCCACAATCCACAAATCACCGTCACAACCTTCATCACTACCAATTGCTACTCTCCAAAAACCCTCACAAGTGCTAGCCACCACGATCATCAAAACCATTCACCATCACTATCCCATGTCAGCCTCTACTCATGTTTCTTCGTTAGATTCTTGGGTATTTGAGGAAGTCCTGGTGTTTCCACCTTAACCATCACCACCATCATCACATCGACTGTCAACCCAACCCCATTGGTGGATCTGGACTCAAGCCTCCTTATCTTCTCTTTCATTCGATCACAGAGAATTTAAATCAAGAGAGATGGAGTTGGAGAGAGCATCAGTCACAACCATCGTTGATTTGTTGTGACTTGCTATTTCCTCCATTTTTCTTTGCTTTTCATTCTTTCCTGAATCGAGTTCGTCTCCAACAGATCGCAGGTTAACCCCCCATTTTCCCTTTCCTTTATTCAAGTAGATATGTTTTGTAGCCTAGGTTAGAATCATGTCTCTGGTTTTTTTTTTTTCTTTTTTTTTCTGCTGTTAAGATGCCATATAGACAGCACACATTTTTTGAAATTATCTATCAAATTCAGAAATTCGTTTGCCTCTTTAAGTTTAGCACAAGTTTTATGTTTTTAGTTTTGATATGTTTTATAATAATAAATCCCAACACTTTTATGCTCAATGACACCTCTTTTTTGCAGTGAAATAACACCAGAAGGTACCCAGATTGCAAATCTTGATCATATTTTCTTTAATAGAAAGAACATAATTATCGTAAGTATTATGTTAAAGCTTCTTGGTTTTGCTTAAGTTACAGACCAACACAGAGCATTTGTTAAGGAGGTACACAAGTTGATTTTTGTCCATACTGTTCTTCATGTCTACAAATGTAAATTAATATATCTTGATATATTAATTTAAAACGTCTAAGTTAAAACGACTAAGTTAATCATATATTGTAGAAGAGAAAGAAGAGGACCATGTGATGAGAAATAACAACCCAATGGTGTTTCCATGATGCTTGAAAAATGCAGGTTATGATGTCTGTGTGCAATACAATGCTTGATTAGGTTATATTATATAATACACCATCTTTATCACAAGCCCCTCCCCTAAAAATCAGGAGACAACCCCCATAAAGTAATCCATGAATTAGAGATATATTGTTTTGATGTTTATGTTTAAACAATAGTATATTCAATTGCTTTCCATTTTAATTTATGTTTAAGCCATATTATCCTAACTGTCGCATCCCTCATAACTAAAAGAAGTAAAATGTGTAAATGGTAGTATATGTTAACTGAGTATTCTGTTTAAGTTATTGAGTTGAGTTGAGTTTTAGTTTTAGTTTATTAATTACGTTAGGGGTTGTACTGGTGGTGAAAAACTAAGTGATAGAGAGCAACAATGAGATGGCAGAAAGGGGAATGGTTTTTTCATTCATTCGATCATTATTCTCTCCAATCGTTTTGATGCTATATCCAACCTCAAAATTAAGCAAAACAAACGACTTTTTGCTTCTTTGGAAACATACTTGATAGGTTATAAATTGAACCCCAAAAAAACTTGCAACTTCTTGCTAATAAAAGAAAGTAAGTTATCTTTTGCATTTAATTTATGTTAAATGCAGGAAAATAACAACTAACTTACAAATTACAATTCCCTAATGAGAAATAAATTGAAAGTATAACATTGTTCTTTTTCCATTTAGTCTTGAAAATGCATTAATGTGAAATCAATACTTGAATATGTATCTGAGGTCACTTTTTTGTCTAAATTTCAGATGAACAAAGTTATCATGATTGTCGTTAGAGATTCAACAAAATAGATGTTGCAACCAGTGCTAATCAATCACAAAGTTATTTTGGTTGCTTGCCACATCTTTTTATTAATGATTTCTAATAGAGACTTAAAGATTTATAGAGTTTTATAGTAAGCAACTCTTATTGTAAGTCTTATAGTTTGTAGAAAGTACAGCAATTCAAAACTTTATTTTATTTTAGTATTGTCAAAAATTTGATTTTACTATATGTGAATTTTTAATATGTATATCTAGCTTTTTTTAGTGGTATGACATCGAAACCGATTATGTTACTATTTTGTTGTTAAGTTTTGCAATTGATTGTTTAACTGGAATATTATAATACTTTATTGTTATTTAAATAATATTTAAAATTTGAACTTTTTTGTATTTTTTTTGTAAATAATAACAATGAACTTATGTTCACTAGGCACAAAATAACAATGTACTTTCATTTAACCCTATAAAAAGCAATAAATTTCCATTTGATATAGGGTTAAATGCCTAAAAAAATTATCATGATGAAAGTAGGCATATGGATGAATAAATAAGTAAAATTACGTTGTTATTTTTATAGCTTTTAAACCTCTAAAAAGCTTTAAAACAATTTTAAATGCCAAAAAATAGTTGTAATAAATGTAGAATGTTGTAAAGGAATTGATATTTTTACATTAACCCTCTAAAAAGCAACATACTTCCATTGAAATTAATCATTGTCCGCCGAAAAAAATTAACTGCGGAAACAAATTAATTTGTCGCCCGCGGCTTTGCGCGGGTAGACAACTAGTATATATATATATATATATATATATATATATATATATATATATATATATATATATATATATATCTTCTCTACTAATAAAACAGTACTAGAAACGCCACCTGACATTCCCTTAGCCACTCACCCTTGCATTTTCCCGCTCAAAAATTATAAGTGAAGTTCCCACTTCGCCCTTCTATTCTCAAAAATAAAATTGTACACATCAGGAAACATAAATCGTCAATCAGTAAATATATAAATCAGGAAATTTCAAATTTAATTCGGTGGAATATTGAAGATCAAATCAATCCCAATAAATCAGGTAATCAATTTAAATTCCATTTTATATCAATCCCAAAAAATCAGGAAATCAGTTTAGGAAGAGATGATATATTTCAATACAATTTCAGAAGTCAATACGATTTTAAGGGTCACGTATTCATCATCAGGTCAGCAAAACTACATTGCTCTTTACCTTTTAGATGTTCTATTTCATCTACATTCTTAATCGATTTCATCACTTTTCCCTCTATTTTTTTACCTGTTATGTATAAGAGTTTGATACATTGGTATTTCTTTATGTATATTCTGGTACATATAGTC